AGTTCTACAGGAACGATGCAGCGGATACAGAGTGAAAAGAGCATCCTGGATGAACCAGACTCTCCTCTAGAGGTTAGACTCTTTAAATTCTGATAAACCTATACAATACTATTCCCCGCTGTTTTTACTACCTGTCCAAGTAATTTCAGTACCTTGGATAGCGAAGGGATTATCGCTTTTATTATTGTGTATCTTTTTTTCCCTAATCCTTGTCCTATTTTGCTTACAGTTCAGTTGAGTAGTTTCGTATTGAATTAATATTTTATCAATAAGGGAACTCGTTGTCTAATTTAGTATTATCTTATTTGTAATTAAAACGGAATCATTAATGTGTTTTGTCTGGTATTTTCGCTAAAATTTATAGGTGTAGTGTTAGAGAGACTTGTAAATCCTGAAAATTGCACTTTCGAGTTTTGAACTCAGTGGGCCGCTGTTGACCAGCGCCAGCATGTTTTTAAATTATTTGAAACACGGCACATCCTCCGTCCTCTCAAAGAGCGAAGGACTCGTGTGCATGCGGAATACACTGTAGTGCATAAGGTAGAAGGCACGAATAATCTTCATGGAATAACCATATCGTTGGATTTTAATTCATCAAAACTTAGCTGTACATTTAATTTTTGCTCTGTAACGCGGATTGCGAAACAAAGAGAGAACATTAGTTCTGTTCGACGGATGTGCTTAACAGAACAATGAAAGGGCAAGTACTGTTGTTTTTCTTGGTCGTCTTTCCTCGTTTTGTGTTCGGCCAGGTCAGCTACTCTATCCCCGAGGAAATGGCGAAAGGCTCTTTAGTCGGTTATATAGCTCAGGATTTGGGTTTAGATGTTAAACGATTACAAGCCGGCAGAGCTCGTATCCACACCGGAGACAATGCAGAGTATCTTCAGCTTAACAAGGAAAAGGGACTACTCGTCATCAAAGAAAAAATAGACCGCGAGGCTCTCTGTGGCCAGACGACGCCTTGTGCTTTACATTTTCAAATTGCTTTAGAAAATCCAATAGAAATATTTCCCGTCACTGTAGTAATCACAGACATTAATGACAACGCTCCCGTATTTGAAAGGGAAGAGAGGCGCTTTGAAATCAGCGAGTCTGCAGTCGTCGGTTCTAAATTCATGCTAGAAAAAGCAATAGATCCAGATATAGGATTAAATGGTCTTCAGAGCTATACATTGAAGCCCAACGACAATTTTATACTTAAAATGAACAGTCAGTCTGATGGTGGTAAAAAGGTCGAGATGATTTTACAGAAGTCTCTAGACAGAGAGAAGCAGGAGTATGCATCATTGCTCTTAACAGCTGTTGATGGAGGAGAGCCTCAAAGGTCTGGGACTATGCAGATTCATATTACAGTGTTAGACGTTAATGATAACGCCCCTGTTTTTACACAAACCGTTTACAAAGCTGAAATCAAAGAGAACTCAGTCAACGGGACAGTCATTACCAAAGTGAGCGCCTCCGATGCAGATAAAGGCTCTAATGGGGAGGTTAGCTACGTAATTGGAAATAGCATGAGGGGCCTTTCAAATGTATTCGTCATTACGGAAGACGGGCATCTTGTACTAAATGCCCCTCTTGATTATGAAAAAGCCCAAAAGTATGAGATTTACGTAGAGGCAGTGGACAGAGGAGGACTGTCTGATTCGAGCAAAGTCATTATTGATGTAGGAGACATTAATGACAACACTCCAGTTATAAAAATAATATCGTCGTCAATTTCAATAGGAGAAAATTCTCCTTCGGGCACAGTGGTAGCTGTAATGAGTGTTAATGATCCTGATTCCGACGTAAATGGTAAAGTCGAGTGTACGATTAATAAAAACACACCATTTGCAATTACTTCTACATCCAGTAATTTTTACAGCATTATAACAGACAGTGATTTAGACAGAGAGAGAGCCTCTGAATATAACATCACTGTGACCTGCTCTGATGAGGGAGTGCCCTCCCTCTCCAGCAGCGTCACTCTCACCTT